ATAAAATATACCTCACCTTGACACAGTATACCTCACCATGACACTGTATACTTCACCATGACACAGTATACCTCACCATGACACATTATACCTCACTATGACACAGTATACCTCCCTGTGACACAGTATACCCCACCATGACACAGTATACCTCCCCATGACACATTATACCTCCCCATGACACAGTATACCTCCCCATGACACAGTATACCTCACCATGACACAGTATACCTCCCCATGACACAGTATACCTCCCTGTGACACAGTATACATCACCGTAACACAGTATACCTCCCCATGACACAGTATACCTCCCCATGACACAGTATACCTCCCCATGACACAGTATACCTCCCCATGACACAGTATACCTATTACGGCCCTATTGGGTCGCAACTGGGATTCTTCTCTGATGGTATTAGAGTTTGGGTATCCGGCCCCAAGTTAGCAGTGGCTTTCAAGGGGTGTGTTCCATAACGCAAGTTAAATAAAAAGGGAAGGGATACAAATTCACTGGTTTATGTATATATAATCACCACCACCATAAATAAATATATAAACTGTCACACGGGGTTGCTATAAATACACAATGTACAGAATCGTCTTCCTCTGAAGACGCGGGATGCTCCACGGTGCACACGATGAGTAGCCCTGGTTTTCTTCGTCGTGGCCCACGATGAATCCTATGATTCTTTCGGCGAATCTACCCTGGCCACAGGCCAGCCAAATCACAGTCCCACTGGGTGCAGCGCCGTGGAGGCCTTCAACCACAAATCCAGCCTGTAGCTGGCAGGTTTCAATCAGCTCCGCTGTGTAGGCCACTCCACGACCGATACTAGGGTTGCGAGCCCTAGGCAGGAGCCTCGTGTGATTCCACAGATCACTCTCCTCACCACAGTGGCTAGTCTCTTCCACCAGCCAGCCCCCAGATACGACGATTCCTGGTACTGCCACGTCACAGGCAGGCTAACACACTCAACAGTGTTCGTCCGGGAGTGACTCAAAGCTTCTGCAGCAAACACGTGGAAAGACTATGGCTGCCTTGGGTAGACTGCTCCATCGTCCAATACAGCACTCCCAGATCGACTCTGTAATCAGACACGTCATTAGTACTGGTTACACTCTAGGGCACCTCACTTACAGGCTTAGACACAAACGTCCACCTATCCACTCCATAGATGGCGTTGCTGTCTAAGCACCACCTCACCAGAGGTCAGCAGCGGTTATGTTACAAGCTGATTAAGACGGGAATCCAGCCCCTGTGGCCGGTATATCTCGTCCTCACTAGATGGCGTCGTCCATTTGGAGGGGGTTTCGGGAGCTGACCCACAAATGGCGTAGTCGTCACAGCTCCGTGCTCGGACGCTGGACTCAGGTCCATAACAATACCTCACCATGACACAGTAT